GTTCCGCAGGGGTCCATTTTGTCCCCTTTGCTATTTAACATCTACATGAAACCGCTGGGAGAGGTCATCAGGAGGTGTGGGCTGCGGAATCATCAGTATGCTGATGATACCCAGCTCTACCTCTCATTTTCCACCAATCCAGGTGAGGCAGTGGCTCTGCTGAACCGGTGCTTGGCCGAGGTAGTGGGCTGGATGAGGGCCAATAAACTGAAGCTCAGTCCAGACAAGACAGAGGTCCTGTTGGTGGGTGATTAGAGTTTTCAGGTAAGTGACTTGAGCCCTGCCATGGATGGGGTTGCACTCCCTCTAAAGGATAGGGGCTGCAGCTTAGGAGTGCTCCTCGAGCCAGAACTGTCCCTGGAAGCCCAGGTGACAGTGCTGATGAGGAGTGCTTTCCTGCATTATCACCTGTTTCTATCAGCTTTGTCCTTACCTGGAGGAAAACCGCCTGGCAACAGTGGCACATGCATTGGTTACCTCCCATTTGGACTACTGTAGCGCACTGTATGTGGGGCTGCCCTTGAAGACATCCCAGATACTTCAGATGGTGCAAAATAGAGCTGCCAGGATGCTGTCGGGGACTGGGCATTATTCTCACATAACTCCAGTTCTCTATCAGCTCCACTGGCTTCCCATTGAAGTCCAGACTCAATTCAAGGTGCTGGTTATTACCTATAAATCCCTAAACGGCTTGGGAGCAGGATACCTAAAGGAATGCCTTTTTCCCTATATGCCCTCCTGCACCCTAAGATCGGCAGCAGAGGCTGTCTTCCGGGAACCCTCTTTGAAAGAGGTTAGGAGACAGAGTACTCGGAGGAGCGCTTTCTCTGTGGTGGTGCCCCGACTATGGAATACGCTCCCTAGAGAGGTCCGCCTGGTGCTGTCATTATATGCTTTTTGGAGCCAGGTCAAGACCTTTTTACTTAACCAATATTTTAAAGTTAGTTAATTTTAATGCTATATTTATTTAATTAATTCATTTTAATTATGTTATTTTATACTGTCGTGGTATAGCCAATTTATTTATTTGTTTAGGATTGGTAGGTTTTAATGTTTGTAAACCACCCAGAGAGCCCTCTGGGCTACTAGGGTGGTATATAAATGCAAATAATAAATAAATACATAAATAAATAAATATGCTATCATCACATAATCCAAAGACTTATGCCAAGATCAAGTTTTTAATATGTATTTTTAATGAAACATGGTGCTTTCACTTTTTGTTTCAGCAAAGTGAACTACTTCGTGAACTACTTTGGATACTTTTTGGCATCCAGGTATCTATTTTGTCCTATGACATGAAAGGGACAACCAAAATAAATTTCAGTATTAACCAGGGACACCATTTAGAATAGGATGTGTTTCGTAGCTATGTGCTATCTTTTCTATATGCTGAACTCATCAAATATAGTATAGACAGAACTACACCATTATCATCTAGTGCATCTAAACATAATCAGGTTCAGTGGAAGATACCTAAGCACATGTTTCAATATTCCATCAAATTAAATAAGCCTCAGAAAGGCTTAGCTTTGACTTGATCCAAACCTCCCAGTTTCTTTCTGACCTCTTTATCTTTCTGTCCATGTACGTTTCTATCATTCCAAATGTGAAGGACTAAGAACCACATCCTAAATGCATAACAAGTAAATTCTAAGGGCAGCATTTTTCTATTAGAAATAGTAACTAATGTTATTATCTTTTAAGCAGAGTCATCTTGGCAGCTGACAATTTTGGCACAAGCAGTGAGGATCAATGCAAACAATACATAAATTTAAAAAATTAATTTTACAAATTACTGAAACCAAATTACCAAGTGATATAATCTTTTAGGATGATTATTTTCTGAAAATGGCAATGAGAAGCATAATTTGCCCCAAAATGCTGTCTTTGGGGTTTCCTGCTTCCACTTTACATCTTAATTAACAAGAAAAAATGGTATGCAGAGAAATATTTTCACATAAAAGTTTTTGCTGGCTTTCAAGCAGTGTTATTAATATGCTACTACTATGCATTTATGATCAGTTAAGGTACTTTTGTATGAATCACTGGAAGATGTCCTTGGGGTGAAATAACGAAAAACATTTAATTATAAAGTCATCAGTTAACTGTAAGTATGTCAAATGAAGGTAAAAGAAAAGAAAGGGGGATTGTCTGAAATTGAATAACGATGCCCTGAAGCTAGTAATTGCTTTATGTTATGTACTGAGGTGTTTGCAGAAAATAACTGCTTTGGATGCAGATCAAGGGCCAAAACTGACAACTTAAAAACTTTAAATCCATATCTAGCAGTTGCATCTCTTTTTATTGCTACTCTAGAATAGAGACAGGGGGCTTTAACCAGCTCTTAAAAGCGCCCCCCCCCCCAATTATCCAGGAACCTTCATTCTTGGCCCGGTCTTATTATTGTCCTTTAATGTTCTTGTATGCTATTTCAGATAATTTTAATTCTTGTTATTGTTTTTATCTATTGTATTTCATTGTTTTTACTGTAAATTGCCCAGAGAGAGTCAGCTACAGGCAGTATAGAAATGAAACAAATAATAATAAATAATATGGTCTCCAGCTAAGATCTTAATCAGTATTCCTATTCTTGTGCTTAAACAAAATGAAAAGACATAACTGATCCACTCAAAGTAATGTCTGGTTTGGTCCTTAGGGCACAAGCCCATGGCCTTCCAACACCATCTGGGAGGTCATGGGATCATTCAGCCTGCCATCCTGCCATCATGGGGCTGAAATTCCAAGGGCCAAGTCCCTGCACTGCCCGCCTTGCAACCAACATGGAAAGAAATGCACCAGCAGTATTGAAACAATTCATACCTCAGAGTTGCTCAAGTCCTTCTCAGAATCCATGTTCTGATCTCTTCTAAATCTTGCAGAGGAAGAATTCATTTCTCAGCCCTTCTATAGAAGGCAATTCAAGCAAATTTTCTCTGAATACTCTTCTTCATTTTTGGAAATGATGGCTGCCACCCATCCCCGACAGTGCTCTAGAATGATGCTGGGACTGCAGCATTGCGGTGACAGACACAAACAGTTGATGCTGTTGCTGTCAACTTTCAGTGGCAGCAGGAAAAAAGGTAGAAAGAAAAGCAAGCATGCTGCTTCGGCGTCTGCTGATGGGAGGCCATCCCACCATGAAGCTGTTGGAGATTTTCTCTTCTACCTGGAGGACCCTGCCGCACCCTTAACAGGGTAGAAGGTTTTTAGAGTACGTTTGCTCACAACTCCCAGGCTAACACAAAATAATTCTCTCCCAACTGAAGGCATATTTGAAAAGGCAAAGAATGCATGGACCTTTAACTGAAGAGTCTCTTATGCACTAACACGTGAGAAATCAATGAAATTAGTAGACAGTAAAGCAAATCCTCTGAATGAGAAAAAGGGAAAGGAATTCCCTGTTTCAAAATCTGGGCATCTTTCACTAGTTCATTAAACTGTACAGGATGGTGACAGAAGGCATAGAAGGTATGCAGAAGCTTTTTTAGGTGTGGCATTTTTATTTCTTGAATTTGTGAAACATTCTTCGTAAATATTTGCAGTCTGGTCCTCCTTTATGCACACCAACAGGCACATGGCATCTGTGTACAGAAGGGGGATCAGCAGTGCCGGGAATCCCAAACCCAAAGCAGAGCACATGAGAGACAGCAGAGAAGATCAGCAGGTAACTGTGTTGTATCCCTTCATTTTGTATTTCTCAAAACAGCAACAGCAACAACAGCAAATTCATTTTAGAAACCAACTTTTAGCAAAGAAATTCCCAACTGTGAAAATACATTTGATTGTACTTGTCACTCTTAAATGCATTTTTTCAATCTACCACTTTAACATCTCAAAGATTTTTTCAAGGAATAGATTTAGCTAGTACTCTCCTTGTGGCATCTGCAGAAACACTTGGTCTAGCTCTGAGCTCTGATTAAGGAGTCCTGTACAACAGCTCTGTACATATCACCTGAAGCGACCAGTCAGGGCTTCATGGTCAGAGAGGGGAGGGGAAAGGTTAGCTATTGCATCGTAATGAGCATTACATTCTAGACTGCCAGCAGCCTACACAAGCCAGAGCCACTGCAGACATTAGACACCGACACTTAATGCAACAACACTTGGGGTATTTTCACAGTCAGAAAACCATTGCAACATGGACACAAGCTGGGCAAAATGAGACGCAGCTTTCTGCTCTTGCGTTATGGTACTGTCACACAATTGAAATGCCTTGTAGAAAGACTAGAACATTTCCCCACGCACACACATGCAGACTGTGTATACTATATCATCTGGGTGGTGGGTCACCAAAGTCTGGGATTCACTGAAGCAGTGCATTTGATACTTGAAATTAGAGTCATCTGTATGTGTGCCTTTTGATGTGTGGGGCAAGAACATCACTGGACAAACATGAACAGAACCAGAGCGCAATAGCAGCTTTTCCCGGAATATTTGCACATAGAGAAAGCAATACACACCTGGACTGTGGGCTAGAACACTATGATTCTGATCTAACAGGTGTATTTGAAAGCAGGTGTGGCCAGATAGGGGCAATCTCGGGAACAAGAGCAGCTATCTATAATTTAGTACATAGTTTCCAAGGGCACGTGTTCTCAGGCATCAGTTTGCTCTCACCCATCAAAATTGGCACAAACGTCCAAAGATTTTTCCAGTGGGTCTTGTTTTTGCAGAGCTTGTGACAGCTAAAGACAATCCTTTCACACTGTCCATATCCAACCAACTTTGGATAAGGAAAAGGTTTTGCCATTATGGATACAGATACACCAATTTCATGAATTTGGAAGAGATTTTTGTAGACAAGATTGTATATCATTATTCAAAGGCAGCCAAGTTTGCTATGAAATTCATTACCTAATTTGCTGAAGACTTAAAAGGCTTTCCAAAGGCTTTCAAAAATAATGTCAGCTGATGATCCTGAAGGCACCAGCTGCTGTTCCTCAACTTCTGGGCACCAGTGTTAAGCTACATTTAATAAATAGTTCAACCTGGCTTCTTCATTCATTTGCTTGCAAAATATTTCGACTTTGTGATTCACTTGTAAGGGCTGATGAATTTATTGAACTTCTTTTCAGCATCTTGTTTATTATGTCCTTCCAGGTCTTCTTGTACTGGTGTCGCAACAAAGAGTACACAAAGGGATCAGAAACAGCTTTGCTATAGGCCAAACACTTGGAAATGACTCCCCAGTGTACATTGATGGAGACTATAGATAATTCTACCAGTCTGCGAAGAAAAGAGGAGATAACATTACTGTCAGGTAAGCATATCGGGGATTCTCAGAACCTAGATGAAGCATTGTGTTTCCACCAGCAGACAGCCTTTGAGATATACACCGAGGGACAAAAGCAAAGCTTCACTGCTATATATATATATATTTAAAAAAAATAAAAATAAAAAATCGGAGCTGGCTCGAGGTTTTGGAAGGCCCTTGGGCAAGACATGCTCAGTGGGCCCCCTCTTTCAATGAGTCTGTCTTCTTGCTGCCATTGTCACCACCTGTTACTTCTCATGCTATCTTTCTCATTGTTGCCCCAGTTGTTTGATCAACAAGCAGAAAGCTAGGGACCAAATAGGCAATGGATAATACTGGTCCTCCTCTAAAAAAGATCCTGGACTGTGCAGAAATGGATAGATAGACTTTATCATTGAAGGAGAAGGAAGAGACTGACTTCTATGAAACTTGGAACTCTTTTTATTATTGGCTAGAAAAACAGGACTTCACATAGATTTAAATATGTTTTTAAGTTATCATAAATGGAAAGATAAGGGTGTGGGGGTTGACCCAGCGGGCTCGATGTTTTTGATGATGCATGTTGTTTGTAGTTTTCTTTTTGTTTTTTAGGATTATAATTTCAAATAAAACTTATTTTAAAAATTTTTTTTAAAAGATAATACTGGTCCTCCTCCTCACTGTCACCATTTTTGGTACCCAAGCAAGAGGAAGGCGAACCAGATGGTTGCCAGGAGGAGAAACCACTCCAGCAGGGCTTTGTCAGAGGACCTCAGCCAGTGTGTGGGCTGTTGTCAGGTGCTTGACTATGTCTGTCCTTAGGTACTAATATGACCAACACTCTAAAAGTCAATATGTAAAAACAAATGGTGCTGTATATTCAGGATACTTTTTTAAAGGGAACCTTTTGTATTTCTGGCCATAACTATCAGAGAATTCTATTAATTGCATGATGAGAATGACTCTCATGAAGAGAGACTATTATTAAGTGAATTTTATTTAACATATGTTACTCTTCTGCAAATAAATGAATCAAAGTTATTTCCATCAAAGCAAACACAGCAGGAGGTAACAGTATTTAATAAAAAAAAATAGAATAAAACAAGTTTGCTCAAAAGGAATCTTATTGCTTGTCTCCAAAAAGCAAGCATGTTTGAGAAAAGCTGAAATTTATAACTTCATTAGATCTGTGAAGCTTGTTTAGGTGTGACCACATGACTTGGAAAAAAGCAGGTATTTAGGATTCCCCCTATGACTGCTCTCTGAAAAAGTCCCAGCGAGTGCTGCCTAAAGCTTCTATGGAAAGGTGATAGTCAGGCCTGCTCTGCCATCAGCCTCTCCACTTTTACTTCTCACTGCCCTGTGAACTCTTCCCTGCCAAGAGTTGCTGACTGCATGAAGGTGAGCACAGAGCCATGTTCACTGCAGACTTTCCCATCAGCATGGCGAGGCTGGGGGTGGGAGAGCAGGGCCAGAGACCAGCTCCCTAACTCCCGCCCTTGCATTAAATCGGAATGTCTGGAGGACTTGTGGGCGTATTGATGTGTGTAGACACACACTCATCACACACTCATCTCTAAAGGAAAATTCCAAACCATCCAATTAAGTAAACGCTGTTGGTGCAATCCTTCCATGCATAAGCCTTCTGCTCCCTGAAGGCGTGAACTAACATTGATCCTCTGTAGAGAAGGATCATGCCCTGTATGAGTGACAGTGACAGCCCTTTGACACGTTGCTTTCTTATGGCAGAAGTATATCCAAATGGACATATGAGCCAAGATTATTTATGGGCCCTACTACCCAAGGGAAGCATTTGAATGCAGAGGTATGTTATTGATTTGAAGGGAACAATTAGTTCCACTTTCTTATAATTATTTTCTGTCAAGCTGTCAGATTCAAGATGGGATTTTCTGTCACATGCAATGAGTGCAACTCTTAAATGTAAGATCTGCATTAAGAGCCATTTAAAATTATGCAGGCCTTGCATGTTCTTTTCTGGGAATCTTTTAATGTTATGTCAGACAGAAGATGAACAGGAAATTTAGAAAAGAAGCCAATATATCATTGGCAATGTAGGAAAAATGCATAATATATATTAAAACATATTTTATTTTTAAATTCTGTGTATACGTATAACACTGAATATAATTTATACATTTATACCCAAATTTGCTTGGTTAGGGCTATTTAGGATGTTTAATTAGGATATGTAGTTTTGCACCCATAGAAAATCTCTAGTTTTTCATTTGCCAGTTTAAATTTCATCAAAACTTCTGTTGAATAAATTTATTTGACTTCTGTAAAATGATCACAGAAATCTATTATTGTGTCTCTAGTATATTGTTAATAAAATAGTAATTTGCCAATTTAAAAGTGGATGCAAAAAGTCATTCTAAGGAAATATTGGGTGCATTTTCGTAGTTTTAAGCCTTTCATTATTGTTCCAATTACAGAATGATGCACATATTTCAATTTGAATTGAGATGCAGTAATTTTGGCAATCATTTTGGACGAAAAAACACATCCCAGTATCGATTTTCCCAGTGTCCCAGAAGACTGTTCTATGCACCAAATATGTAGCTATCCTCCTGGTTGCTTTGAGAATTTTTCAATCGAAGGACAATGCTAGTTGGCAATGAGAACAGAACATCTACATCCCAAAGTTATATTTAATAATTTATTTTATGTATTTTGCGATTTATATCCTGCCTTTTTCCTACAAAGGGCTCAAGGCAGCTTACATCATTCTCCTCCTCCATCTTCTCCCCACAACAACAACCCTGTGAGGTAGGTTGGGCTGAGAGTCTGTGACTGGCCCAAAGTCACCCAGTTGTCTCCATGGCCGAGCGGGGACTAGAACCCAGGTTGCCTGAGTCCCAGTCCCATGCTCTTAACCAATACACCACACTGGCTCTCATATTTCATATTTCATGCATAGTTCGCTTTGCTCTATTTGCTTCCCTCTATTGTAAAGAAAACCTCATTTAACCGGTCAATGTTGAGTCACTGAATATAAATGTATCACATTTTAGGTCTTGGTGTACCACATACCAAATGATTCATGTAGCTTAATTCCAGGTTACTTAAACCTGATATTCTTAGAGGAAAAACCATGTTTTTGTAACCATAATGTGCTGCAGCCATCCAGAGATTGCATCGCTTCAACTGTAGGTTGAAGACAGTTGGATGTTACCTCTTGTAATGCATCTGGAATACATGTCAGGAAGAAGAGAAGAAATGTGGCAGATACCTTACAGCTTTCAAAGCCAGAATATTTATATGTTGCTAAACAACTTGGGTTTATCTTTGCTCTGCCACTTCAACACTTCTGATCTTCCTGTCCCCACAATGGATCTATATCATTGATATGTCAGATGAGGCAGACTCCCAGTAAATGTTCTCACATGCTGGCTTTAAATCCTGCTAGCTACAAGTACTTGGAATCTACTGCCATCAATCTTAATTCTTGTCACTGAAAAGCATTTCAAAATCCTTTCAAGTTATTTGTTTCAGCCATTGGCTATTAACATAACATAAAATAAATCACTAAGAAATAATAAAATTAAAATGACCAGGTAGTAAGCAATGAGTAAATAAGCCAGGCAGTAAATACCGAGATGCTCCACAAAGTAAAAACAACACAATTCCAAGGTACAGCCAACTGTGTGAATTCATTTTAAATGTGGCTACCCTTTATCAAAGTATATATCAAACATTGATATAGGTTACTACTGCTACAAAATAATTGGCCACATTGTCCAAAACATTTTCATAACTGAAGGACAAATAGATTTGCCAAACAGTGCCTCTTGGGCATCAGTTACAATGGTGAACAGATAGCCATTTGCATAGCTGTCACCCTGGAATCTGGGCCTTGAAGGGGAGCATTTCAAGCTGTTTTGAAACGAGGCAGATGACTGGTCCTCCCAGCCAAGTACTGCCTGCATGGTTTGGGGTGGTTCTCCAGGGTTTCTGACTGGAGTTTCCCCACCAGCTGCAGTCTGGAGATGCCAAGGACTGAACCAGGATCATTTTTCTTGCGCAGCTTCCACTGTATGGCTGAATTATTTTAGCCTAGAGGAGGCCCATTTCATGTCTTTTACAAGCATTTAGAACTACAGACCAAAAATATGTATGGGAAGTCAGAGATGAGTGAAAAGCACCCTGAAGTCTTGGCTTATGCCATCTATTATCAGGATCAGGGCACTAATGTTGCTATTAATGCCATTCAAAGTTTCATGTGTGCCAAGACAGCCTCATTTTTTCCATGATCCACTTTGTTAAAAATAAATCTACACATTCCAAATGTTCAGAGAAGCTAACATAAGCTTTTAGATTGTACCCTCTTATGCTGCCTCTGAAGCACAGCAATCAAAATTTCAATAATTCATTTTCACTGGAACAATTTTGAGTGATGTTTTTCAATACAGTTTTTCTCTCTCTTTTTGCTTCTTCCCAGCAACTGTTCATAGCAACAGAACATGCATTTTTGTGAACCTCTCTGATACCAAATGCAAACTATTCATTATTGTTCAGTAAACAACTTCATAATATCTATTCCTCTATGATCTTTTTTTTAAACCATTATTATTCCAAATGAACATTCTGGTGCATTTGCAATAAGAATGCCCTTATTAATCAGTGTGGAGTTATAAACCACATGATTAATCTTGTAGTTCTAAGATGGAAAAATGTGATACATATGACTAAGTACTTCTCTTGCAAGACTGGTACAAATGTTCACCAGGCAGATGGAGGCAGTTCCCCATTTCCTCTTATTGGGCTTTTTACATGTGTGTGGTGGAGAAAGGAGAGCAAAGAAGCACTGGCATATTTGAGGGAAGAGGCTAGATTCATGGACGGAGATATTCAGGATGGGCAGTGCAATCCTATGGATCCTAGGCCACACCTGGGTGGCTACAGAACTTTCCAGAATCCCAGCTCTGACAATGTAAAACAGCTCTGATGCCAGAGCTGCACCTCAGCACTCATGGTGCCCCCCACCCCTCCCTGCAGTGCAGCTGCTTAATGGGTTGAATGGCTATTCCAGGAGGCAGGAAGAGCGGGAGACTGATGCCACCAAGGGATGAAATAACCTGGCACCACCTCAACCACATCCGCTCCACTTCTTAAGCACCAAGGTTAGACAGCCCAAATCACCTGCCTAGCTCTTTGTCTGGGAAGCAGCCTTCAGCTCTGTGCATCTCTCACTCTCCACAAGATGCCTGGATTCCTCTGAGTTCAGAGTGTGATGGGCATCCCCACTTATTCTTCAAATTTCCAAAAAGTGGTATGCCCTTCGGTAATCTAGTTCAATACCCACAATAACCAGATATATAAGTGCTACTAATGTGCTGCATGGCATCCGTGGTGCAAACTTCGGCACCTTCTTAGCCTAGACACCAGTTACAAACTTTGGGCATTTGCATGCATTTATTTGTCCCAGAGCATGTGCAGCATGTCTAATGCTTACTGATCTTGCACCTGAATCTAATGTACTCTCCTCAGTCCCATTGGGGTGTGGAATCTGAAATGATGCATTAATTAATATTTGCTAAGAGGAGGACCATAAAATCTGAGCAACATCTGACAGTACACTGAAGCCTTTTTTTCCCATCTGGACATTTAATAACGTGTGGATGTGAGCAATACTGGTTCTGTACCATCAGTTTATTTAGAAGGAATGGAAGTGGCTACCTTCAAACTTACCTTGTGATTACATATGGTGCAAAACAAAGTATAAAAGTGCCAATAAATGTACTGATCTTCTTGGTTGCTCGTTGTCTCCTCCTCTTCTGTTCTTCTAAACATCGCTCTCTTACACTGTGCAGCATTTGACATAAACAAGAAAGTGAATTATAATTTCAAAGAACATTTAATCACGTTTACTTATCAAGCCCATTATATGTTTTCCTAAGAGGTATTTCATTCATGTAGAGTCTTGCTGCTAGGTCTTAATGTGCATGCCTCTTGAAGGAAAAATTATGTGAAGAAAGCATTTCTGCTGAAATAAATTGGGTCAAATAATAGTCATAGCAGTCAATTTATTTTCCCTGTTGATATTGAACTGGGGTACAAGGGGCAATGATGGAAAAGGCATGTACAAATCTGCCAGATTCTGAGTGGACAGAGCATCTTTTGATGAGACATTCAATACATCTATTAGGACTAAATCCTGTAGTGCTTGCAAGGGCATCCCAGGGGTCAGGGGACATGCTAGATCTCCTTCTATGGAGGCAGAGAGAAAGAATGATTTACAGTCATTTAAACTTGGCCTGCTCACAGGCCCACATGTAAATGTGAAGGAAGCTCATTTTAAGGTAAAAGGTTTGCAAGTTCTTGAATATGAGACTGGGTTTAGCAAGTGTATTATTTTGAAACAGCTGTGATTTATAATATGCATTATTCCAAAAAGAGAAAGCAAAAACCCCACCCCTTCATATACATGTTCATATGAGAGAGTGGACTTTTCATGGTTGGATGACAAGAGGAACACAAGTAAGAATGGGAGTGACAGAATCCCATTGAAGTGGAATTCAGAACAACCTGATGAAGCCAAGAACCTCATCTCATCCCTCATTCATCTCTTCCCTTATTCTTTCTTCGCTAGTGACAGTGAGGGGGGCGGGTTGCCCTCAGAGGAAAGATTGGACCTCTAAACCCTTAGCCCCTGTGGAAAATTTATGTAGTTAGCTCTTCTTCTACATTCAAATTCCAACATTAGAGAAAGGTAAAGGAGGTGTTGAAGGATGTGTCAGGCACATTCTTGCTTTCAGACACATTCCCAAACTGGCAGCAGACCTACAGCTGCTAGCCCTAGAGCTGGTACAAATGGATTTTCTCCCATTGACAACAATGGGAGAGAATTTCTACCAAAAAAATCTCCACAGCTGCTAGTGGAAGAAAGTAAAAATACTTCTCTTTCCTCACTTCCACCCTGCTCTGATGAGTCCAGCTGCAATTTCAATATGGGGGTTTGTCTACCTGGAGCAATACAACCTGACAGGTAAAATCCCTCTGCTATGGTTGTGGAGTCAGTTTACAGAACTGCACACTAGACACAGAGAGAGAGAGAGAGAGGGGGGGAGAGTGCAATGCCCCAATTCCAGTGCACGGTTAAGCACATTGATTCCAAGTCAGTGATAGACTATGGGTAAAGTTGCCTGCTACCAGTAGCTCTACATTTGAACAAACACACATTCTCTGAGCAATGTACTACGGACACATTTTAAGCTGAGAAGAGGAAACAAAGTAAACAAAGCAGAATGCTGGTTGTTGGCAGTATTAATTGAGAGAGTGGATAGAATAAGTCACAGAGAGAGCAATGCTGTTTGGATGGGGATGGATGAGGGAGTGCGGAAGAAGAACATTGGCACATCCAGCAGTTTCCAAGCAAGAACCTCCACATCAGCTATATCCTCACAGCTTTAGTAGGCAGAAAAAGAGCAATACATTTCTATATGAGTGCACTGCTCTAGTCGAAGGCTTGCAGAGGACTGTCTACTCTGAAAACATCCTCTCGTGGAAGGGCTTTCTGGTCTAAATTTGCACTAGAACCATCAGAAGGAAGAGTTTGGCCTTGGAGTTGCCCATTAACAGCACCTGGAGAGTAGGTTGAGCAAGTCCGCCATTCAACTGGTTGCAGTCTTTCTCATTACAATGGAATGCAGTGGCATTTTTATCTAATTTATAGTTGTTATTTCAAAATTTACATCAATACATATAAATTAATAAATGCAAATTCCATGCAGATCAGAGTACTCTTTTGTCCTCTCTTTAGGAGGCGCCTTTTCTCTTTTCTCAGGGTGATTCATAAGTGTCCACCCTAGCACAGTCCCTGGCTCAGGGAAGCAGCTCCGTACTGGGGCAGAGCATGTGTTCCATGTACAGAGTTAAGGTATTGCATTGCAACAGAGAGGCAGCAAACTTGATCCACCTGAGCCAGGCATGGGCCCATGATTAGTGTGGGACCACAGTTCTGGAGCATAAATGTGCTACAAGTTCAGAGCTGGCATATAAAACTGCAAGAGCAGCCACAAGTTGCAAGGTTAAAGTTGAGCAACAATCAACACTCCACAACGAACACTTTCTGCATCCCTTCTACCAGAGAAAACTAGTAAAAACAACAGAAAATAAATTCTGCCACAATTCTTAGATATGGACCAGCATCTCCTCCAAAAGTACTTCGTCTGAAGAGGCCTAATAATGGCATTACCTGATTGGAAACTATAGGTGTCCTGTACCACCTTCTCTCCCCCTGCCCCTGCTCTCTCTCTTCTACCCTTCCATTTGCTCGGCAGTTTCTTTTTCTGGAAACTTGGGTAGGATTCATAAATATAGTGATTTTGGCTAGGTTTTCACAATGAAAACATATATGCTCCTCCCACAAGCAGATGCAACACTTTGGGAATAACTCACTTCACTTTGAGCCACTTCAGAAAATACCTGCTTCACTTCAGAATAAGTCTGAATATTTCTAAAGCTGATTGTTTTGTTTTGGCATTTGGGCTTCATCCAAAGCAGATGCATACTTGAAACTCTTTCTGCTAGTTATTAGTTGAGACTTCTATTTAGTTCAATTATTAAGCCATCTGCTGGGCTGTATTGACTGGGTTTCATACTAAATGAAATGGCACACTATAAAAAAATGTTTGGATGGAACTGGTCACCACAGTCTACAAAGGCTAGAAGGCATAGTCAGGAGGAGGAGAAGAGGAAGCAGCAGCAGTGACTGCCCCACCAATTCTATACTTCATTCACACCAGCAGGCACAAATCCCACATAATCCTCTTGAAGCAGGGAGAATTCCAGTGCTGGTGCTGGAAAGAGGAAGGTGATTGTTGCTTTCTATTGAATATCCAGCTCTAACACAGATGGCCAGGAAGGTGTGTCATCTATTTCCAGATGGCCAATCATAAAAAGCAAGCTAAAGAAGGAACCCCACTGTGAAGGAAAAACAAGTGGCAGCAAAGACCAATGCTAGTCCGCATGGTTAAAGAGAAGGGGGCAGTTGTTCAGCTCTATAAAATTGGATGCCTCCTGCTCACTGATGCGATCTGTGAAACTCACTGTGCAATGGGAGCACGTGATGAAAAGCAGAGAGATAAGGCTCCATAAGGAATTTATTTTTGCCAGTTGGGTGTGCAGCAGGAGTGGGTAGAAAGTCAATCTACAGATGTTGCAGATGCCCCCCTCCCAAAAAAAAAAAAAAAAAAGATCAAGAACATTGGCAATGCTGGTGGGGCTTCTGGGAGCTAATGTCCTAAATATCTGGAGATCTACCCTCTGCCCACCCCTGCTGTGGGGAGTGTCTCTTGCCCCTCACATTATCCCAAGCTCTAGGAGAGATCTGAATAGGTTCTAGAAAATTCCAAAGTGGCCTCAGTGGGTGACTGTTCCAAACCTTCCACAAGCGGATTCTAACTCACATTTATACCTGGGGAGGGGAGGGTAAACAATGCTAAATTTTATCTTGGAAATAAATATCAAGGTTTTAATGCCTCTCACTTCAGGTATAATTCACAAAATTATACCTCAGCCAAGAAAAGTATGCCATTTTTAAACCAGATTTTCCATACCTGAAATCTATTTTCCTTACATTTTTGTGAGTTTTTTTGCTTGATCTTGTACTATAAGGCAGGATGTAGCAAGATTATTATTTCTCACATCCTATTTTCATTGGACAGCCTCCCCTTCAGCTAATACATGTAGGTTTGGGATTGTGATCAGGTTGGTGGGCTGTAAGTTGTACCAGCCTGAGGTAAGGTGAGAATTGAGCCTGGCTGGGTACCAATGCATTCTGAATGTGTGCATAATGCATTCAGTTCACATACACTGAGATATCCAAGTGAATAGTTTCATTTTTCAGTTGGTTACAGAAGAAACTTCCATTCAGGGTCTCTCACGCCAGTTGCTACATAAATTAACACAATGCCTGGATTCTTTTCTTACAGAAGTCCGGCTCTTTGCAGAGTCACATGGGGCAAACTTGAAGCGGGGAAGGGGGACTCTTGAAAATTGCATGACACATCCAGCTTCAATGAATTGCTGTGGAAATACTACATATGCACAGCATGCAGTTGGCTTGAGGTGGTCAAGTGCTGAGCCAATTCTGGGCTGCTTTCAGACATGTGAAAAACCATTAGGGTCTCAAAATAGTCCTGATGTCCTGATAAAACACTGTGCTTAAATCAGTGCTATTTCTGTACACATGGACTAGAAAAGTAGCTACAGAGGACTGAGCCTTTTAGTTCAGTTTGCCTTTGACATTTAAATACGGTCAAATACAACTCCCCTTTAAAATCACAGTGTCACACATCCTAAGTCAGTCATGCCACTTGGTTAGATGTTATAATGGAGTTTGCTACTTGTGAGCTGCTCCCCCGAGATCCAGAACTCAGTCAATTCTGCAAAAGCTTGCAGGCAGATTTAATCGATATCCTTGAAGTGTGTAGGGCCAAAATCTTACTCCTCTGAGCAAGGCAAGATTGTTGACATGATTGATAATACCATATGATGCATGCATTGTGTGAAGAAGCAGAGATAAGTTACGCATACTGTTCTCAAGTCAATCTCTGTGCAACAGATAATTTAACAGCTCATGATCTGTCTAATTAACAAAGCTTTTTTGGAATGTGATGAACATCACTTTTTTATATATTACAAATTATGAATGTCAGCTCCAGGTTCCACTCAGCAACTAAACTGAATAGAATAAATAGACAGTTTGTCCTCAATTGCAGAGTTTATTTATTGATTTGATCTGTACCCTGGCTAACAACCATAGGAACTATTTTCATTAAAATAGCTTGCTTTAAACAATG